CAGCCGCACTTATTTGCAATCTATTACACATAATTTGATTATGAGTGAAGATAAAAGTTTTTTAGTTATACATTTAAAAAAGGGTATTTGGTTTATTGTGTCCCACGGGTGGTACACAATGAACTAGTTCTGTGTACACAATGAACCGAGAGACTTTATTCAATACACGTATCTACTTTTACTTGGTTTAAAGAAACTACAGTATAATTTCAAACTTTTATTGTTTAAAGCAAAAACCATATATAACCTAGGTGCAACGAACAATAATTATTATTAAAGATATACTTATTATCTCATATTTAACAAAGAAAAGGACACTGTAAATGCAAAATATCCTTGTTCTGTGCTCCCACATAGTTTTGGTTTCGGCAAAATATACTTTACATCTTTCTTGTTAACAGAAGCTGTATGAGGAACATTGAGCATTATAAACTGATCACTGTCTTTTGAGTTAAGCCTTAAAAATGTTATGCAATATTCCCCATCTTATTCTGCCTTTATTATTTCTCCCACAAAATATAATTCTTTCCACTATCATTGTTACTCTCAAAGGAAATATCTATTACATTATCGTCCGAATCTTCTTCGTCGTCATTAAAAAATTGCACTCTCTTGTTTGTTTATTTACATTTAACGTTTTCTTTCTTTTAGCTTCCAGTCTTTGTTGTTCAATAAGGTTTTTTTCGGGTTAAACAACGGTTAAACAACTTGAACCAAAATGAGATAAATTTAAATTTGAAAATATTAATATTAATAAAATTATGATTTAGCAAGTTGTAAACATCCCGAAATTTATAATTTTGGGAGTGAGGATGACCAGGAACTTGTTGGATACGTTGTGGACAATGAGCACTGATGATGGCAAATAAGCCGAAAGCGCTTTGCATTAATAAAAAAGTTTTGCACGAAATACAAGTTTTTCCTTTTTGAATTTGGAGTTTTTAGTTTTGTTAATAGGCGTAAATCTTTTTTATGTATGAGTGCACCCTGTACAAATAAGATAGTGATTTAATCTTTTTTATAATATCTGATCAGTAAACTATCACGATTAACCCTTAAATTTAGTAAAAATGCTTAAAAAAGCTATACTGGACCCTATTTGTATGTAAAACTACAAAATTTACGAAATTCCTCTTTTTACATAAACTACATCAAAACTTTAACGAACTTTCTTGAAAGCGGATGTAAGCATACAAAATTTTCCTGTTTGTGACAAAATCAGTAGTAACGCTGCCCAGAAAAATATATTTCTCCTTTTATTACTACTTTCCAATATACTTTTGGACCTACCCCATACATTGCGAAGCCAATAAAGGCCTAATGTTTGAAGTTTCTATGGCAACCGTCATTGCAAGACTAAATTTGGAAGGATTGAAACGAATGGAAGGAACACGCAATCTTCCAATACAAATTTGGAGCGCTTAAAGTATCTACCATGAGTGGTATCAATCTATCTCAATTTATTCTTATCACTAGAGGAACGAAAATGTTTGGTTTAGAATGTTGCGCTTCTATCAAATCGAAATTCTCTTTTTTTTTTGTTCGTCTGAAGCATCCATTACCAGCGAGCGTGCAATATTTCAAACATTGATCTAAATTTAAAAATCTTTTTTCGTTCCTGATTCTTTTCGGATACATTTTTTATTTACGAAGATTTATTCAGTGGCTCTCTTTTAAATTATGTATACACTATTTGCTTTTGTTCTTGTTTTCTTTTGTACCATCAGTTAAATCTATATACACTGCAAATTGAACGATATAAAACGTTGATACATTTTTTTATTTGTTCAATACCGGTGCAGTTAAATTCTTATAAAAACAAATATATAATCTTTACCAGATTAAGAATTTATTACCATCTTGATATTTAATAAACAAAGAATATTATTTTGTCAAAAAAAAAAAAAAAAAATTGTTTTACAGAGAGTATATAGGACAATATATTGTATTATACTATCATGGTTTCATATCATAATATGTCAATGAGTATACAAAATTACCCAGTCGAATATATCTAGATCTTTATTGGGTACAAAATAAATCAAACATATTGAACATATTGCCATGAAATCTTTTATTTTTAGGCACTATATTACTGATAATAGTCCTGCATGGTTAATATTTAAAATAGAAAATTTTAAACAAAGGGCGTCATAAAAACATTAAGAAATATGTAAACTATAAAAAATTAAAACTAGATTAATCTGAAGAGACTTTAGCATGAAATATATCACGAGGAAATAAACGCAGACAATGTATCAACATTTTATTTCCAAATTAAAAATTACATAAATAAAATTATAAATACATTTAAAATAAAACATAAAATTTTTAAATTAATTTTTTAATTAAAGAAAAAGAAAAACTTCATAAATGTTCTCTTTAATTTCCTCAAAATATAGAAATTAAAGAATGATATAAACAATATAATAATAATTTAACTAAAACAATAAAGAAGCAAAATCTTCATAATTTCTAGGCAAATTAAAAAAATTTAAAAAACTACTAATGCTCTTTGGTAATGTGTAAACGATATATATGGGAAGCAAAGACCTAAAACCAATATTGAACAAATTATATTAACAGACGGGCCCAAGGTTACTTGTAAACAAGAAATTGTAAATCATTTTAAATTATTGTATTGAGAACTGTTTGAAAACACCATGTATATGTTTTTTGCGAAGGAAACAGAGATAATAGATAATAGATTTAAAATGCAAAAAATCACCAGGAATAGATCAAATACGTGCAAAGACATTAAATGAGATTGCTGAACCATTATCATTTCTTATAAATTGGAATAAGCTGGATATTGGCAACTATCAACCAGTTTTTTTTACCATATAATATTTCAAAAACATTAAAAAAGTAATGAAGAATAGACTAAAACTTTTTAAAATAATATGAAATCCTTTCAGAACGTCAATATTGATTTAGAGAGGGCCGATCAACTGATGATGTGATTTATAATTTAATATCAACCATTCATTAGAAAAAAAATAGCCATTATTTGCATATTCATTGATTTATCAAAAGATTTTCTAAAAATATCCAAATGGCTTCAGTTTAATCAACTAACATTAAATTATAAAAAAACCAACACACCAATCGTATCATATACGCCAGGACTTCGTATGTTAAGTCCACTGATTGTAGGATGTAGTATTTAGTATTTAGGTATACTTTTAGGTTTTCTACCAAAATTTCATTATCAGAGAGACTTCTTTAATACAAGATGCTTAAAAACTCTCTACCACTCTTGTAACCCCTCCTGGGGTTTGTTCGGGTAGCAGGTAGATTTTAGACAGTCGGAGACAGAGTTCTTTGGAAATAAAACTTTATTCTAATAATTTATATACAGATAACAATATTTACAATATGTACATGAGAAGGTTCTAGCTAAATTTCGAATCATCGTGTCTTCAAATGTTGTTCTCCAAAATATATTTTGTGTGTCGGTTCGGCGTGGCTTGGTGGTCCAGGATTGTGTTGTGAAGATGTGACAAGGCTCAGGTTACCTTTACGGTGATAGAAGTCTCTTAAAGTCAATACCTTCGTGGGAAAGACTCACGGGAAGGGAAAACCTACAAAGTTAATACCTTTGCAGGTAAGAGTCGGGACGCCCGAAAGCCTAGGAGCAGGAGAGGAGAGGTTTGCTAAGTCAATACCTTAGTTCAAATGACGAGAATTCAATTTGGAGCTCCTTATATACTTGTCTCTCCTTGGCAAAAACGGCTGCATGCTGAACCATAGGCGTCCCTGAAACGGTGTTGCTGGGGAACATCGTTACACTCTCTAATAGAGGCATTATTGGGTTATGGAATTATAGAATGGGGAGTATACCGGGTGTTCTAAATTAAAGCGTTACAGCCATATACCGCTTTTTATAAAAAAAAACGTTTCAGACGAAAGTTTTATAGTTTTGTAGGGAAAAACTTTTGGCTAAAATCGTTTTTTATAGATAACCATAATATGGCCAACTTTTGTTCGCGCAGCAACATTTTCAAGTAGCTGTTACTCAAAAAGTAAGAGTCCAATAAAAAAAATATTTCCCTCAAAAGTTTCTTATTTTATGTACTTTAAGAATATGTAAGAAAAAAATGGGATTCCCATTTAAAAAAACAAAGTTCACCTCGATATGGTCATATTATGGTCAGCTATAAAAAAATGAATTTAACCAAAATGTTTCCCCCAAAAAACTATAAAACTTTTGTCTGAAACTTTTTTTTCTAAAATACATATTTTCGGCGGTATTTAACTGTAACACTTTAATTTGAACACCCGGTATATGATAATTTTTTAAATAATACTCATGTGGTACAAAAATGGATTCTGAGAATTATTTCAAATAAAAAACAATTTATACTCAAGCAATAACCTATATGCACAATTAAAAATGTATATGATTTTTAAAACATTTTAAAATAAAGTTAGTATGAATATCATCACAATACCAGCCGTCTTGAAGCCATTTTCCTCCCTAGATCTGAGAAATCTATAGGTCAAAGATGTGCTAATTAGCTACCCCCAAGAATTTATACTATATAATGCCTCAAAAAATAAAAAATATTTTTTTATATATATAACTTAAAAAAAAATAAAAAAATTGTATTCTTAAAAAAATAACAAGTTTAATGTCTGATAAAGCATTAGCGGTTTTGGCATTGTACTTACGATATCTTCTAATTTAATGACAAATTATTTTACAAAAAAAAAAAATAGAAATAAAAAAACTATAATAATACAAGTTATACTTCAATTACCTTCTGATATATTCATTCATGTCTTTATACCCTAATATGCTCTCTGCCTGATATGAGCATGTTCCTTGTTCAACCTATTGTAAGGTATAATATCAGTGTTGAAAATTCCGTGCCTACACATATACATACATAATATGTACCAATATTTTTTATCTTTATTTTCTGTTACACTAATATAAGTATGAACAAGTTTTTAACATTTACTAAATCCAATTCCATCAAATGTTTAATTTGCAGCAAAATTTGCGGACTCGAAGCTACGTGCTGGCAACAAAGAAGCCACTGAAGAAGAACTGGAAAGACTTTTAGATAAAATAATGTTGCTTTTCCGTTTTATTCATGGTAAAGATGTGTTTGAAGCTTTCTACGAGAAAGATCTTGCTAAGAGATTGCTAGTGGGTAAGTCGGCTGGTGTTGATGCAGATAAAAGCATGTTAAGTAAGTTAAAGCAGGAATGTAGAGGAGGATTTACATCAAAGTTAGAAGGATTGTTCGATGACATGGAACTTAGTAAAGATATTAATGTGGCATTTAAATAACATTTGAATGTGAATACTCAGCTATATCTTATAAAGCAATATTATTTTTATACTGATTGTTAATCTCGATTTCATTATCTAGTCTTCTTTAGCTATTGTTTTAATTTATTGGCTATATTATTTATTATATTCGTATATAAGTGTTTGTAAGTTATATATTATATACCACGTACAAGTAGTTTAAATACTACTTCTGTAGTTCTTTCTGTTTATTCCCTTTGTTGCATTTGTTTTTTATATAATTTTGTATTTGTACCATTGAGATGAATAAACATATTATTATTATTACATAAATTAGTATCCATGTTTAAAATAGCAAAATAATATAGTATTAGAAAAAGAGCTTACTGACTACGTATGTAAATAGTGTAGTAAAAGCTGCTACACAAAAAATAAAATGGTCATTTTACAGATCATAACCCATACACAAATGCTAATACTGTATTTTAAAATGGTATACGTCCTATAACGTCCTACACAGATAACTCTAGACCACCCTAGGTTAAACTATTTTCCTATTGTTTATAGTGAAATATCAAATACAACGACTGAGCTTTTTATTTTACGTATTTCAGTCCGTATCATAAATGTCATATACATTTACAACATATTTCATCTCTTAACTTTGTAGGTGGTAGTGCGTCTAATACACGGGCTAAAATATGATGTTTGGTTGTTTACAGGATGTCTCGCGTTGGAATCAATCTTAACTGTGAAAAGAATTGTGACAAGTTTTTTTAGATTTAACTTATACATTTACTGTACCTCAAATATGTTATGAATATTATTTAAGAAAAAAAGGATGTTGGCATTTTATTCATTTTTGTATTTTAACAGATTTTTGTTGATCTAATATTGATGTTAACAATATATATTATTGTTTGTATTTCCAAATGAAATTAAATATAATTTTTTTTTAATTGTTTAACAAAACTAGTATTCGACCATAATCAATATTGAAAATTTTGTAATAATTGGTATTTTTATTTGAAAATTGAATTTACTTAAAATTCTAAAAAAGTGTTTTTTAATGTTTTAAATTAACATTCAAAAGAAAACTCACGTAGGTAGTGAAAAAAAAATAATTAGTTTATTATTTTAGTCAATGGCTTACATTAAACTAGAGAATTCAAAGTAGAGCGTAGGCATTTTTAAAAATAACACTATCACTTAAATGTTGGGTTTATATAGAGAGAATAGACAGAAAGAAAAAGACTCGAGTGAGGACTAAGGTTCAAAAACTCTCGTTTTCGGAACCCTAAGACCCGAAACACCGTAATGTGTATAGTAAAGTTATTTGTAGCAACTGTGTGATATAGGTAAATATCTTTAACTTATTTTTAAAGTGTTTTGTTTGAGATAATTAACTGAGTTACATATAAATGCTAATTTTACATTTTCGTCTCGAGTATCATATTTATTTTACATAGATTTTATATTATTATATAGCTCTAAAGTTTCCAGTGCTATTTTTAGTTGTTAATAAGTCCAAACTATATAATTCAATATAATGTTTATCTAGTTGTCATAAATCTTCATTTAAAGTTTGGATATATTATCAAATAGTGCTTTGTTCCCTAAATATAAATTTATTTATTTATTTGTTATTAAGACTATTGCTAATTTTTTTATTATTAACAATATACATTTGCTAGTGTTTTAATACTTATTATTAATCTATCCTCTCATTTTCAAAACCAGGAAAATATTCTGAGTATTTGAGAAGCCTCGGCGTTTCTATTCTCTTGGGACTAGAAGTGTGTGAAACTAGTTGCCAAGAACCGCTCGACTATGCTAATAAGGGATAATTTTTGTACTTTTAATTTAATGTTTTTATTTATTTGCCACTGATGAATGGATGTTCTTTCTGGACTTCAGGACCCTTTGGCTGGTGACAGTGCTGCCTTAATCTCTTAATAGTTAATTATCAACAGTAGCTAAAGATATATCCTTAGTTACAAATGGTCTTTAGGCTAGTTGGTTGTTACAATTTCAGTAAAACATATGCATTTACATGTTTCTGATTTTTTTTTATTCTTATATATTTAATCATTGTGACTTATAACTTGTTCTGGGGTTCATAATGATCCCTTTCAAAGAACGTCCATACAATATAATACCGTTCTAATCATCAATATCCGTTATAAAATCAATTGTCAACTTTTTTGTGGGGAGGAAGGTAGTAACGAAAATCGGATTACGTCTTACATTTAGCTCCTCTATAAAACCGTTGGTGGAGGAAGTAAAGGGTGGATTAAAAATTTCCAGAACGCATTAATGTGTGATTTTGGAGCGAATTAGAAAAAAAAATGTTTCTTGAATTAACTCTTCTATATATCGAGCATTCCTGTATTGAAAAGAGAAATAGGAGGAGGGGCTTTTGGCCGGTTATAAATTATTTAGGGGGTATCTGTGTATTTAGGTGTGGCAAAGGAAGAGGGGATGGGGTAGGTTGGAGAAGTAGGGTTAGGGGTATTTTATTTTTCGTGTTTCGCGATCCTCTATATGTCCATGTAATATTGTTTATGTCGGTTCGAAATTAAAGGGTGCTCATGTTCGCTATAGAATTATTTTATTAGTCAATCATAATTCATAATTGTGGATCAATGTATAAGATATATCGAAGGTTGTAAAAAAAATACTATTGCCAATTTTAACATTAAAGCTAATCAATAGCTACTAAACACAAGCATAAAAAAATTGGTTTACTAACAGGAGAGATAGAACATGGAAAAAAGAAGTGTTGCCTATCTGATTTTTTTATGAGTTGATAGTGATGAAATTGGTAGTGACAAATCCAAGTTTTCCACCTCGGAAGCCGTTCGAATATCATTCATTAAAATTTAGGAGTTTTTTCCGTTTTTGTCAATTTTTACCACCAAGGACATACGTTACGGCAAAAGTTACTATGTACACTTTTTAGGTAGATTAAATATGCAATTAAATGAAAATAATTTGGTTTTGGTAGGCCAAATAGTTTTTAAGATACGGCTATTTTAAAGGTTGCAAAATTTCAAAACAAAAGGAAGTATTACAGATTTTCTTTAGTTTTTGACAGTTTTTACGCCTAAGTAGTGGGTTTATTGGAAAAGTTACTTTTTTTCGTTATTAAAGTCCACTAAATTACCAACAAAATAAGACCAATTATGTCAACTTACACCTGATAGTTCCTGAGACACAGCTGTTCAAAGTTGTTGAGATAAGTGAACAATTATGTAATTTGGTTACATAACGTATATTAAATTTTATGACAAAATTTGTTTTTACTTTTATTTGCAACTAAAATCATAAAAAAACAATACAACAAAAATGTGTAACACCGATTTAATATTCAAACTAACATGTTAACACCAGTATCCCGTAGATGCGAAAAGCACGGCGACGTATGAAGGGGATGCGAAGTCACTACGGCTCAAATATAACTGTAGTTTTCGATGGCTACTGGTCTGACGCAACAGACGAGCTCTGAACGTCTGCGTAGAGCTCTAGCAATATCCTCTCCTGATTTTATATTCTAAAAACAACCATTGCTGTAGTTGCTTGGGATAAGTTTCTATTGAATGACAGGAATAAAGTTAGACTCATCGACATGCTGAAGGTTCACCTGGAGAAAAACAAAATTTTAACCTTACAGACAGAGAAAGATGCTGATAGGTTAATAGTAACCACAGTCATTTAATATCCTCTTCCTATAAAGTAGTAAAGATCGTCGGCGAGGATATAGATTTGTTGGTCCTACTTTGTGATTTGTCACGAGATGGAGGAGACCACAACCTTTCAACAAACAGACCAAATAACAATATTATATTTGTAAAATGTGAGAGAGGACGAAACCCAGATGTTACCTACTCGACAAATTCCATTACGAAATTATCAAAACCCGGAATAGCACTGATCCTTCACGCAATTAGCGGTTGTGATACAACATCAGCACCCTTTTGTGAAAGGAAAAAAGAAATTTCTATCGATAGTAAAAAAGCAGCCACGCCTAGAAAAAAACGCAGAGGTTTTCTTAAGCTTCAATGCTACACTAGAGCAAGTTGTCTACGCAGGAGAGACCTTTCTTGTTGTACTTTATGAAGGCAACAGAGAATCGCAAAATCTAAGCAACCTTAGCTTCCAGTTGTTTACTAGGGCTGTAGTTAAGCCCAACATGAACCTCGCCAGATTGCCTTCAACCAGGGATACTGCAAGATCATAAACATATTACCAGGTGACCACATTCTTTATACATGGTTCCTTATTTTGGTGTTGATTTTGTTTCAGGTACAGAAGTGACTGCGAAATAAGAAGAATTCTCTCGATTAGAGCTGGATGAGGAGTACACAAGGCCTCGTTCTTCAACAGATGTTGGCACCACCAGTTCCTCAAGCTCTGCTAGATATGATTTTCTGTAACTGCAAAAAAGGTTGTATCAGCAGTTGAGTTTGCAGGAAAGCAGGACTAAAATACTCGGCTGTTTGCAGCTACTGCACTGGCCAATCTTGCGAGAACATACCAGATCTGATGTGTGACGACATTGATGAACCATTCATTGATGAAACACCATTAAATGATGATTTCGAGCTTCCTGAGCAGTTCGATAAATAAATTCTACCTCAGCAAGCTGCCCCCAAAAGGTGTGCTGTGCATAAAATACAATGAGGCGTTTCATTACATTTTTCATATTAATGTTTTAACTAGTAAAATTTTTATTTTATTAAATTATATTGCTCATTTCACTTACTTTGCAAACCATTTTAGTACATAATTGTTTACTTATCTCAACAAATTTGAACAGCTGTGTCTCAGGAAATATCAGGTGTAAGTTGACATAATCGGTCTCATTTTGTTGGGAATTTAGTGGACTTTAATAACTAGAAAAAAGTAACTTTTCCCCTAAACCCACTCCTTAGGGGCAAAAATTGTCGAAAACTAAATAAAAGTAATACTGCATGTTTTTGCAATTTTTCAAAATTTTAAATCTTATAAACTATTTCGCCTACCAAAACTAAATTATT